AGGAACACATGGGAAGGAAGAAGCGAGAACGTACACACACACACACACACACACACACACACACACTAATGATGGTTCTCAAAGACACTAATTCAGCCTAACAAACTCGAGGCTAATTACTCGGATTGAAGCCTAGTTCCTAATAGGCCCTGGATAATAATAGACCCGTGTCCTAATCCACCCCAACCAACATTAAACTACAGGGTAAGTCTTTATGGGCCCCAGTTCTAATGGATCCCAATTCTAATGGGACCTATGGATGGGGTCTATTGGGGCAAGAAACTATGATGGTCATGTGGTCATATTCTACAGTAAACAGAGGCGTAAATACACACACACAGGCGCTCACATAACAAAGGAACACGTTATCTCTCTCTCTCTCTCTCTCTCTCTCTCTCTCTCTCTCTCTCTAATCAAGCAAATCGGCCCCTAAACATATAAGCTACAGCAGATCTTTCAGTCTTTTCTTACTTTATATCGCAGTGTGTATGTATGTATGTATGTGTGTATGTATGTATGTGTGTGTGTGTGTGTGTGTGTGTGTGTGTGTGTGTGTGTGTGTGTGTGTGTGTGATATTTTTAGCGTATGGTAATTCGCGCGTCAATAGGAAATAAAACAAATATCAGAATAATTGAAGTGCGGAGGTAAATTTGCCCAGATACTTACAACACAAGAGGATTACCACGAGAGGAGCTTAATTTTCTCATCTCGTCCCGCTTATAACTTTTTACTCAATGGTAATTTTTTATCGATAAATTTATATAATAGAAAATATTAATTCCATGACACACACACACACACACACACACACACACACAGAGGTAAATTTCCGGACAAAATTTCCCTCCTCCCACTTTTTTGATAATATATTTATTCAAACATTTTTATCCACTAAATACTGTGTTTTATGATGTCGTTTTTTCTGATATATTTTATAATGAAAACGAACCTTCATCAAGTATAAAATCGAACACAAATATAACACTAAAATAGATACGAGATATAGAGGGAATTCTAGTCACATGTCTATACCACTCCTAAACAATAGAAAACTCACTGTAACTTTTAATACATATATGGGTGAGTGTTTTGGTGACGAATTTTACTGTTACGTGTAGGGAACAGAATTTATATTTTTCATAGTTAAAAAAATAAATTTGTGAAGATGTTAAAAGATAGAGAAAAATAAGGAAATAATAATGTTTGAAGGAAAGATAGGATTTGAAATACTCTCCAGGTAAATCCTTGGATAAGTGTCTGTCCAGGACTGTAAAATAGTGGGTAGCTGGTCATAAGGGCCCTAGGCCTAAGCGGCTCTAACCTAACCTAACCTAACTTAGCAGAATCAACCACACACATACACCTACAATTATTTTCTATATTATTCTTGCTGTAACACACACACAGACACACGCAGACACTCGCACACAGACACCCGCACACACACGCAGACACTCGCACACAGACACACGCACACGCACACACACACCATTATATGTGCACACACGCTTAGCAAAATTGGTCAGCAGGTCTCTAACACTAATATAAAGGGGATAGTTCAGTGTCTCCCCGTGTACCTGCTGCCCCGCCCCGCCCCGCTCCACCTGTTGCTGCACCGCCCCACCTGTTGCTACCTCGCCCCACCTGCTGCTTCCTCATCCCACCTGCTGTTGCCCCGCTCCACTTCCTGCTGCCGCCCCACCCCACTGAAGGAGACAACTGATGAAATATTCAGTTAATGGTACGGGTCTTCTTGCACATACATGTAATTTATTAACTGCATAAAAACACTTAACAATAATTTAGTCATTTACTAATTACAATTAATGGAGGTGAGTCCTCATTACTACAGATGAGTCCTCATTACTGCAGGTGAGTCCTCATTATTGCAGGTGAGTTCCCTTTACTACAAGTGAGTCCTCATTACTACAGGTGAGTCCTCTATTACTACAGGTGATTCCTCATTACTACAGGTGAGTCCTCATTACTACAGATGAGTCCTCATTTACCACAGGTGAGTCCTCATTACTACAGGTGAGTCATCATTACGTCCTTGATCACTGTCATCATACTCATTATAAAATGCCATCACACTCGTCATCATACTCACGGATCAAGGCTGTATTGTTTGTAATGAATTGTTTTTCATTTTGTAATTGTGTGTAATCCTGGAATAGTTCAATGTTTACGCTAATTGTATTTAATAAAATCTTGGTGTGTATTAATTTGTAGCGATGTGGTCAATAAACAATGTCTGTCTGTCTGTCTGTCTGTCTGTCTGTCTGTCTGTCTGTCTGTCTGTCTTACTGTTACCACTCCCACGTGCTGTCTACCCACCTGTTATTACCATGCCCATCCGCTGCCCCACCCACATATTACTACAACTTCCACCTGTTTCCCACCCATCCACTACTATCCCGCCCACCTGTTACCCCACCCACCCACTACTATCCCGCCCACCTATTACCCCACCCACCCACTACTATCCCGCCCACCTGTTACCCCACCCACCCACTACTATCCCGCCCACCCGCTACCCACCCACCTGCTGCCACACTCCATCTTAGTGAATCATAATGTTGTGACAGCTAAACCTTGGCCATGTGCCTTCCTCCTGTCATGTATATGCCAGACCACGCGGCGTCAGACACTGTCACTCTCAGGAGGCTAAGCTGACACCTCTATTGGCATACCTCCTTGACACTCTCTGGCATTCCTTATTGGCATTTGTTGTAGAATGATGATACTTGTGTTAGATTAGATTAGATTAGATTAGGTTAGGTTAGGTTAGGTTAGGTTAAATCGTTACGATATTTGGCACACACGGATACCCAACACCATTAGACATCGACTTTGTGCGTTCATGATTTCACTCCCAATCAATTTGTTTTAATTTTAACGACAACAAACAACGAATACAACACAAAAAACACCCCAATTCCTTCATAACCATAACAAAAACAACAACAGGGTAATGAAATCTGGCCTCAAGACACACACACACACACACACACACACACACACACACACACACACACACACCTCACAGCAAATCAAAACTGACATTAAACTTTAGCCAATTGTTGATAAAAGCAATGAAGAAATTCCACCACCTGGGTAGTACAGTATTACCTCCCCCTCCCCCTCCCCACCCCCCCCAACTTACGCCTTGGCTACTTGGAGATGATTTTTTTTCCGCCATAATGAGTCTGTTGTCAATTTCTACCGAGTGATGTTAATAAATTGTGGTTTTCTTATTCAATTTTTGCTTTGATTTCTTGGTTATTCATTGAGAAATATTTTGTTTTTGTTTTTGTTTTTACTCTGGTGTATGTGTGTGTGTATGTATATGTACGTGTGTGTGTGTGTGTGTGTGTGTGTGTGTGTGTGTGTGTGTAGGTGGTCATGGTACTAGGGAGCCAGCCCCCCGGTCCCCCCCCTCTCTCTCTCTCTCAATTCTTCGTTTCCTTTTTTTGTGTTATTTTAAGCTTTTATTTAATATCGTTTTTTTTCTTTTCTTTACATGATCTGGATTTTTTATTGTTCTATCTTTTCTTCTCTTTATTCTTCTTTGTTTCCTCTTTAATATCTAGTTTTTTGTAGTCTATTCCTCTTCCTATTATCTGTCGTTTTTCTGTCTCTTCCCGTCTGCTTTATTTCTCTTTTCTGATGTGTCTTGATATCTTCCTTAGAGAGAGAGAGAGAGAGAGAGAGAGAGAGAGAGAGAGAGAGAGAGAACTTGACCCAGAATCCTCGTATTTGTTTTTCTTTTCTCTACTTACGTTTGGTTTTATCACTCTCCTATCTTCTCTGTTTATCTCTTTCTCTTAATTTCTCTACATTCATTTCTATACCTTTCGTTTTCTTCATTCCCTCTTCTATAATATCTTATAGTGTTCTTGTCTTCCATATCGCTTTATACTCTTGTCTTCTCTGTTGCTGTTTATTCTTCCCTTCTTCTTCTCTGGATATTTCTCATTCATCTTGTTTTCTCCTTTTGTTATTGTCTATAATCTTTTCACTGTTCTTATATTTATCTTTCTCATTTTAGCTTTTCCTCTTTTTTTTCTAACACTCTTGGCGCATGCTTAGTGTTGCATCTTGAGCTTGGTGGGAGAATAGTGTTGTGTCTCTCTCTCTCTCTCTCATATGCCAGATTCACTTAACTATTGTTTTCCTTTATCTCTCACCTTTTGTATATATTTATTCCAGTTTTTCTCCTCTCCTGCGTATCTTCCCTTCTTTCTCCAGACAGTGATAGTGCTTCTTCTTCTTCTTCTTCTTCTTCTGCTTCTTCTTCTTCTTCTTCAGGCAACGTCTGCCAGAATAGTTCCTTCGTCTTTCTTGCTCTTTCTTCTTATTTTTTTTCCTTGCTTTAACTTCAATTTTATCTTTCTGTCTTGGTCGCCTTTTTCTTTACGTTGGAGTCGTGTGTAGTGGTGACGGTGTTGAAGTTGTTCCTCGAAGTTGAATTCGAATATGGTAAAGCTACTCCTCTACGATGGTTTCGAGTGTGGTGGTGAAGTTGCTCCTCTAAGATGGTTTTGAGTGTGGTGGTGAAGTTGCTCCTCTAAGATGGTTTCGACTGTGGTGGTGGCGGCTAAGAAGTGAGGTAGGTGGTAAGACAACTGTCCAGGGAGGGGGACGTCCCACCACTGGGTTCGTCCCGGCCTCCACCAACACAGCGCCCCGGGTATTTTTACCGAAGTTTCACCTGAGGGCCAGCGTGGTATTCGCCTCACCTGCGACTCCAACAATCAGTGACACTTATTTTTCTCGTGGTCAGGAGGGGGGGAAGCCCAGCTGGCGAAGGATTGGGGGGGGATAAAGGGAGGGGGATAGAGATGAGGGGAGGAGGGGGTTGGATAAGTGGAGTGGATCGTCATCCAAGGACCCCTGCTGGCAAGGAGTGTAACAGAATATGCAGGTGGTGTGTATATTTGGCGCGGCTAAAAGAAGACAACTACCTGGCCCTGCCCTCGACTTTGGGGTAAAGATGGCAGGGTCTACGACTGACCAATCAGCGCGCAGGAGCGGCCGGCCGCCCGGAGTATATAAGCCAGGGACCCAGGCCCAGAGCGGCATCGTGCGGCTTCGGCTTTCGAGATACAAGCGGTCCTTAAAGGCTTAGACGACAAAAACCAACTAGGTGAGTTGACTTGAGTCAGTGAACAGACTCAGTGGCGAGTGCAGGAGTACAGTGCAGTGTGAGGAACTACACTAACAACAGCAAGTGCCGTTAACTCATGTGTACAAGTGAGAGAGAGCACAAGTGACCCGTGAGAACACGACCCCAAGTGTTCACTAACAGAGATAGTGACAGTGCAGTGACAGTTCTCTACACCAACCACTTACAACCTCTCCTTGCTGTCTTGGTTCATTCATTAAGAATTTTCTTACAAACAAAGTGAAGTTTTTATTAATTTAAATTTTCTAAAGGGAATCTTGTCTACGATTTGTCAGTGGTCAGTCTGAGACTCCTCACCCACGGTTATGAGTTAAAAGTAATGTTTGGTTTTTTTCTATCACAAGTGTAACTACTCGTATTTCTCTTAAGTCACCCCTCAATTCAAGATTCATTTTCGTCGAGTAGAGTCACAACGTAGCAGTAGTAGTCATGGTAGTAGTAGAAGTAGTACTCGAAGTAGTAGAGGCTGTTGAGGCCCCGTTGATGGTCTCAAAATCAAAGTTTTAGCTTAGAACAATTCACCTGGACAGCTTAAAGAGGAACCGCTCACATATGACGTAATCCATCACTGCCAGCATTCTAGAAGCTCCATCAACCTCTCTCTCTTTCTCTCCTAGAAAATATCTCTCACATAATTGTATAATACTCTACCATATCTCTCTATTTCTTCTTCTTCTACTTTCCCTCCCTCCCTCTTCCATCTCTCCCTCTATCTACACCTTTCTTCCCTCCCAGTCTATACCTCCTTCTTCTTCTGTCCCAACCTTCCCCCGTTCCCCCCACCTCATCTCTTGACATCAACCTGACACGAAACAACGCTTCAACGGAGATAACTAACCAATCAACCAACCAACTTGATTCCTTTTGAGAGTGTTTGGGACAATTTTCGTTCACAAACTTAAGACTAAAATCAAAATGGATGAAATCAGATGACATGTAAATCAGGACGAAAAATAATCAGGATATACGAAATGTTTTGACGTAGGAGGATCTCAACCAAAAGACGGAAGTGGGACACACACACACACACACACACACACACACACACACACACACACACACACACACACACACACGGGAAATCAGATGACAAAACCAAGTTAGTACTACAAGAGGATATCGAAATCAGCATAAAAATCAGAAATAAGGGAATCAAGATAACTAAATCAGGAATGGGAATAGTGTGTGGTAATAGTAATAGTAATAACCCTACCTCTCCACATTGTGACCCGAAAATAATACTCGACTGCAAAATACTCCTCCCACCTGTTACTCTTAACATAAATTCAGCTGTCTCTCTCTCTCTCTCTCTCTCTCTCTCTCTCTCTCTCTCTCTCTAATCACCATCATTCTACTCTTATGTCCTCGTAACGCGAATCATTGTATATTGAGCCTTATTTCTCACTGGTGTAGATTCTATTTCCCTCTGTCATGAATAAGACTTTTAGAGTAGAGCAAAGTATGGTGGCTCTATATTTACCAAGGCTTGACAGAGTTTTGTATAATAGAGCTCTATGTAGATATGACTACGATAAATTAAATCCTCTGTAGATGTAGTTCGGTAAAAATAAGTCCTCTACAGATTTTGTTCTACATAAATACAGATCTGAGACACTTCCTTGGGCCCCAGTTATAATAGGCCGCAGTCTTAGTAGGCCCCAGTTTTAATAGGTATTAGTCATTATAGGCATTGATCTTAATAGGCACTAGTTATAATAGGGGCCAGTTATAATAGGTCCCAGTCATACTGTAATAGGCAATTATCTAACTTTCGACCACAGGTGAAATATAAAATACCTGATTTCTTCTTTTGCATTACTGTGGCTTCTGATTAGACATAAGAAATTAATCAAATAATTTCCACCCACACGTAAATCAGAATCTCGAATCTGATTTCCATGTTTCTGATTTCCAGCCTTCATTAACACACGGGTCTGAAATCGATACACCTCTATCTATCTATCATCTCGTTGCTTCATCTAACCATTGCTATACAGTCCTTACAACTTCTCTTAGCTCAGTCTACACACACGCTCCCATCACACCTTAGTTCAGATAAATGATAAAATGATATACCCTAAGTTAATCAGTCAGTAATTCTCCTATTGGTCTGTAAGGTCAGTCAGGTCATTGTGTATATTCGCTCCTCTGATGTTTTTACCTCTCCCCCCCCCTTCTCTCCCTACCCCTTCCCCCCTCCTCCCTCCTCACCGCCGGGACAAACAAACCAGGGCAATTATTGATAACTCCATCAGATGGTTGTGGGGGTGGGGAATAAGCTGGGAAGAGAATTTTATGGAACGGGATTAATTCGTATTCTGCTCTTTCTCTCAGGTGAATTAATTCAATTAATTCCCAGTGGCGTCCTAGCCCTGACAACCGGTTGCCTGCGACAACCGGTTACCTGCAATAAGCCACCTCTACACCCTTTGACCTAAAAAAAAAAAGAAGATGGCTGAACTTTACCCTACACGAGAGAGTCAGTTCATTAATGGTGCCTCATGACTTGACTTCATTTCAGAGGTGTAAGGTTAAATGTGTTAAAAATAATATACGAATGTTATTAAAGCTTGAGTAACATTAGTGGAAATGGTCCCGATAACTGCATAGAGTAATATATTCAAACATATCTGCCGTCTATACTCTTTCTATCACTTGTAAATTAATAGTTTCTGAACAAAAATTATCCCCTCGGGTTTATGGTATTTACGCTCTTAGTTCGATTCTCACTGAAAATAGAAAATAAAACACACACTTGTAGTTTACGTGTCACTACTGCAGCTTACACACAAATCCATCCAGCGTGGTGTGTGTGTCCTGGTTGTCTCTTGTACAGTACATGTATTGGGTTGGTCTCGCAATAGCTTGACACATACGCCAACTTAGAGACCTCCAATAATTATCCTGTTGCAATTTGCTTTTCCTTATAGATATTTATTTGGGTTTCTCTAATACGTCTGGCAGCAATACTAGATTCCACTGTTTCCACCCCCCCAACTAAACGTGTTGCCGGACGCTCCAATGATAACATCGTACAGGAGCGCCAGATCACATAACAAACCACAACTACTTAGTAAATATAATAAACAATATATCACAAAAAATACAAGCAGTATATATATAAACACATGGTTAACTACCCCGTGAGAGCCGTAAACATATAACCACAGAGAACTGTTATTTGTTTCAAGTTAACAAGAAAGTACACCTCAAGTGGGTAATGTTTGCGTCTATATGAAGCCAAGACTCTCCACAGTGACGGTACAATAGTATGAGGACGTAGGTACTCACGCTATGATCTGTTTGCTACACCTGGAGTGAAGGAGGGAAGAGGAGGGGGGGGGGGGGTCGGTCCCTTGCCAGGTCACGCTAAATAATGCATCACTTCCCCCACCCATCCTCCAGCATCCCCACCCAGTAAATCTCAGACTATTCCGTTGTTCACCTGATACTCCTACAATACAACAAGATGTTCACCTGATACTCCTAAAATACAATAAGACGTTCACCTGATACTCCCAAGACGTTCCTAACAGAGGTCCAAGAACACACAACCACTCCTTGACGTGTGGAAAAAGCCAACGTTACGATACCAAATTTACGATCTTAAACCGAGAGAGTAAACGAATCATTATTATTATCATTATCTCTCGCTAATAAGACTTTCTCCAGGGTTTAATATTTACTGTGTCTATATAAATCTTAAAACCTAATCTATTTCCATTTTTTAGTGTATATACGAATCTTATAACATTCGTATTAGTTTTAATTTCTTTGGTTCTCTTCTGTTCTTTGTTTTCCAATTGTTTTTTTCTGGTCTCTTTCAGCAAAATGGCTTACACCTGGGACAACCGTGTGAAGTATGTTGTGAGGTACATGTACGGTAAGTAATCACTACAGTTTATTTGTATTTTTTGTCATATATATGAACTTCCTTTTATCCTCTTATTTTTTTGTAGTTCTTTCTTCTTCTTTCCCCTCCTTCTCCTATTCTTCTTCCTTCTCCTCCTTCTCCTCCTCCTCTTCAGTTTTGGTCATTATCTATAAGCACTTTCTTTTATTCTTTTATATTTCTATTTCTATTCCTCCTCTTCTTACTCTCCTTCTGCTGTAGTAGTACCTATCAGAAATACTCCTTATTCCACCTACTTATTCCAGGTCTCTAACTCTCTCCTCGATTTTTCCCCTCCAGCAAAATCCTAATATCTTTCTTGGATCTTTTTTTTTCCCGGGTATAAAATAATTCCCCAGTTGTGAGTGATTTTCCTCCCTAGCATTTGAGAATTGTTCTGGAGGGTATCAACTTAGGGGGAGTGAGGGAAAAGGGTGGGGGGGAGGATCACTAGGAGGAAGGGGGAAGGGGGCTGAATCATTAGGGGGGGGAGGTAAGGACATGAATTAGTAGAGAGAGAGAGAGAGAGTGTGTGTGTGTTCTCCAATAATCTCATAAATACTGTATGTATTCATTAAACCCGACCTCTTCTTCTCCACTACCATCTACCTCAAAGTTCTTAATCCCCCCACCCACCTATCCCCCCCCCCTTTCCCTCTCCCCTAAGAACCACTCGCTGTAGGGGTGACTCTCAGGTGTGTAGGGGTGACTCTCAGGTGTGTAGGGGTGGCTCTCAGGTGTGTAGGGGTGGCTCTCAGGTGCTCATAGCTTAATAAATCAGAGTACCACGGAAACTTGATAATACCACACAATTGCCAGCCTCACCTATCCACTTGGCTAGGTTAAGGATAGGAAAAAGGGAGAGAGGTAAGAGAAGGAATAGGGGGTGGGGGAGGGGAGGTCACTAAGGTAGAAGTCGTGAAGATTTAAGGAGATTTTCCCCTCCTAGATTACTGCCCTTAGTCTAGCCCTTAACCTGTAAACTCTGCTCCCCTCTCCTGTCAGAATACGTATTGTTTAAAAATGGTAAATTATTATGTTTGGAAGTCATTTAACAGAATAAAAAAAAAAGATGATTAGGTTAGATAGAAGTGAATAAATATGGAGGTATATACAACCCGAGACGACCCCATCACACGCCACCCTCACCAGGTATCCCCCCCACCACTTCCTCATCTCCCCACACCAATTAACCTATGACATTTCCCCTTTTGGATAATGAAGTAAAAGGAACACGGAGGCTAAAGTTAAAAAAAAAAAACTCTGATTGATCTGCCTGGAGTGAGTGTGTTTCTGTGTGTGTGTCGCTGCCTTCGTTAATAGTGGGGACCAAATCATCAGGGTATATGGTTCATGTTTCCTATCTCTCTCGTGGCTCCTTCGTAGCTAAGGAAGTCAATTCTGTTCTTTATCTTCATCTTCTCGACAAAAGCTTCAGTTAGTTTTGCTTCAAATGTAAAATAGAAACTTCATACACAAAGAGAAGCCTTAAAACTGCCCCCCCCCTCAAACTTATTTCTGAACACAACGTATTGAAACAAGGTAGTTTTTCCGTACACCTGAGTGAAGCCTAATTGCTCCTTTATTCTTCTTTGTACAAATTAATGTTAGAGTAGGAATACATTTTCTTTAAATGTTTGATAAATAATACTAAAAATAACGGCATTAATCTAGACACTCAACGCTTGTATAACTAGATTTTATTTAAAGTCAAAGCAAACAGGAGGCACACAAAACTTGAGAGTACTTCGGCTTTTATGTTCAAATGTCAAGAGTTGGGCTCAAACAGTTACACGACGGTGAAATAATAAAGAATAACACTGGTAGTTGAGTGTTTGTTTTCCAAATATCAAAGTTGATGAAGCTAGTCGGCGGTGCCTCGGGGTGGGGGGTGCGTTTGCGCCACGACAGCCACGACCTCATGAGATATTCAAACCTCCAGAATTACATCACTTCCTAAAAAAAGACCACGATGCCTTATTTCTCTCTTAAAAACGACAAAAAACAGTATTAACAGACATGACTACTGTCGTTTATTACTGGGTGACTTAGGAGGGGTTAAGTTCGTCTAAATGTAAACAATGGAGGATCAACACAGTAAACAGTGGTCGCTTCTTGATGCCTCTCAACTCCGTGTCTGGCGGCTGTGTTTTCTTTTTCACGTCTTCAAAAGTTGGCATCCATATTCTTTTATAGTTAAATATTTATCTTTAGTCTAATTCTCCTTTTACGAGTTATTACATTATTCTTGAGTCTTGTAATCTATTTTTAATACTCTGTAATCTCTCTCGTTCTCTCTCTCTCTCTCTGTCTCTCTATACCTGATCCGTCTTTCGTCTCCCCCAAACAACCAAGTTAGCACAGCGCCATCTGTTAAGGTCGCCTCATCCCCCTTAATCGGCGTTGTCTCTCCTTGACTAATCAATATTCCCCGTTTTCCGCCATTTGTCGAAAATATCTCCTGATCCGAGTTATAAATGTTCTCCAAGTTGTGGTCATCGTCCAAAGGGTCTCTCTGGCTCCTTGTGACGCCCCACCACTTGGGCTGTCCACCTGTAGCGGCTGCCTCATTATTTATCTACCTATCTGTACCTCCTCACTAAGACTCATCCTCCTGGTAGGTCAATAACTATAAATTATCTAAGTGATATTACAAAGACTCCAGGAGGCTCTCTGGTTGTATTTGTTAGAAGAAAATTTCCTCACGAAAAATGGAACCTCCGTTTAATGTATCCGAGGCTTCAAAAATCTGTAAGACACTTTTCCTCCCCCCAAAGCCACTGTTCTCTGTGGCTGGGTGAAAATAGCTCTCGAGCCAGGAGTCGTAAGGTCGAACTCCTAAACACTCTTACGTGGAAACATCGAGCTGAAGAAGGGCGGTGTTTGGCACTATCTTGGCCCGGGATGGCAGAAGGCCTGGGGCTGATGGTCTATATCGCTTCGTTGTCGCTCCTCCTTCACCCGATTCTTAAACATGACAAAAAAAAAAAGAAAAAAAAGGAGACAAAAAATATTAGAGGTCAATTGCTTTTTACAGACAACCCTTCTTGTTTCCCTCCTTCAGAGTACCTTGGTAATGATCCTCACCACCTTCAGTATTTGTTCTTCTCATATGAGGTTAATTTCAGTGGTGAGGTAGAACGGTCGGTGGTGTGTTGAGTGCCGAGGCTTATAGTAGTTTTTGATTCTCTACCTGGACGATCCCGCGCCAGCCTCGACCTTTAAGTCATCAATAAATAAAACTTTACTCTGCCACGCCCACTGGTACCGGAAACCACCGAGCTATGTTACCATCCCGTTACCATCACCTCCTCCCACCCACTATTGTTTACCGGCCCACGCTATATCCACAAACCATTACCCACCCACCTTTGCCCACTGACCCATTGAACGCCCACAAACTCACCTACCACCAGCACACTCACCAGCCCTTCACTCACCCCCCCCCCATAACACAGTGGGGAGAATATCCCTCTTCCCCTCCACTCGCGCCTCATCTTTCTTTATCTTTTCTGCCTCACTCACCCCTCCTCTCTCCCTTCTCTACCTCTTCCCCTCACCTCAGCCTCAACCTTCCACACCTCTGAGTCACCTCCACCCTCCCCTCTGTCTCACCCATGACACCCCCCTCCCCTCACTCTCCCTCCTCCCCCCTGTCTCACCCCCCACCCTCCCTCCTCCCCTCTGTCTCACCCCTCACCCTCTTACCTGACAGACCTGTTTCCCCTTCCCCTCGTTGGACTCGCTCCACTATCTCCAGGTCTTTTCCGTAACCTTTGTTCTTCCCACGAAACTATGTCAGCGGTGGAGGGAGGGAGGGAAGGCCTGCAGTATATCAATGGGGAGTGCCTATGTTAGTGGAGGAGAGAAGGGAGGGAGTGCCTAGAATGACCTCCACTGTGCCTACTTGGTTGTGGCGACGAGTGTCATCTTGACCAGTGTTCACTGTACTAAAGGTGACCCACTCTCAGCCCAGCACACACCTGCCCTCCCCCCTCCTCCTCTCTCCCACTTTCCTTCGTCTCCCCCATCCTTCCTCCTTCCCACTTCTCCTTCCTATCTGCATCTCTCTTTCTTTTCCACTCTCCTCTCTCAATTCCTTCTTCATTCCCTCATCTTTCCCTTCCTCCTCTACCTCTCTTTATTTTAATCTTTCTCCCTTTAACATACCCCCGTTCCTTCTTCATCTTCTTCCCCTTTCTTCTGGTGTCGGGCGCCTCTCCTGCTCTAGTTCCGGGATGGGTGGACCATTAGAGGAGCCTTCTGGTTGTCTGTAGCTTTTGGGATCCAAGGAAGGTCCGCGGGGCTCTGTGGGGCTGTAATTAATGTCAACTCGGAATATTTTGACTGTGCGTCTTCCTATTTTCTCTGATGATGGTGATGATTTGTGTTTTGTCTTCTTGTTTTTCTTCTTAAACGATACTGTAGCCAATCAGATTCCTTAATATTTTTACCCATAGAAGTCATCAGTAAGATTATACACGCTTAAGAATTCAATCCATCCTGACTTGATAGACCCACACACATCACTCTAAAAAAAATAATAATAATGTCGAAAAAAATATCTTATATACTTTGGTCAATTATTAATGGAGGGGAAGTGTCTGAGCGCCGATTGTTTATTTCAAAGAGTAGTTTTTCTCTTCTCGTGCCTCTGCATAGTCACACAAGGGTGAATCTTTAAGCTTAGTATCATGGCGGTATAGCCTGGCAGTGTAGTGCGCGTGCCGTCTCCCCACGCCCACGGATATTCTCCCCTGTGTTGTCTGTAAACAAACTCGCTATAAACTTAATGTATATTTTGTGTTTTCTCCAAACTTAACCCCCAAGAGAAGACGCCAACATGAAAGTCAAGTCTTCTCTTAGTCACTCAGGGGGATATATAAAAGCAGCCTTGTCTCACGTCACAGCTACCACACCAACGATACCTAACGCGACACAAAAATTTACCGCGTCAAAATCTGATCCCAGCGGCCTACATCAGGAGACTCCCTAGCGACGACGACGGGGCAGCAAGTTTATTTTAGTGTACGGTTTAGCGTTTCCTCAGAGAGTGTTGTGGGCAAACACTGTAAGGTTGCCAAGCCCATTGTTGCATTCCCCCACCAGCAGCGGCGCATTCCTCTACCTAGCGTACAGGATTTGGCCACACACACACACCTATTTTCAACCTGGGCGTGCAAGGACTCAATTTCATTTCGCATCTCATTGATTCCCACCTGTTAATAGGACTCTCACCAGTCAGTATACGGGAAGGAACGGAAGGTTATCATACTTTTAATTAATACAGTAGTTGATAAATATATGGTCCTCCATCTTCCGCTAAAAACACGCGCAAATTTGTTGGAAATATAAAGCGACACTAAGACACTTACACCTCAGGGGGCCACCAGGGTGGTGAGAACTGATGGTGGACCGCGTTTCTGAGACCCAAATGACAGGGTAACGGAAAATAAGAAATAGAGAAGCAGTGACGGTATTAAATGGCCCAGAGGAACGTGAGATAGTTAATGCACTTCACTGGGGGCAGGAAACAACACTGAGAAAAATGTATCGTCGAGTTTATTTCGGTTCCTGTCTCTGGCGTCTGTACAGCATGTTAAGCTATTTGGATACAGTCATTGTTTAGTAGAAAATATTGAAGTACTGTATACAGCTAAATAAGTCACTTACATATTTACATTAACATATATAGTGTAAATGCACGTATTAGGTGTCAGTTTATATAGTTCGTTAAAATGCGTCGAGATTTTGACAAATAATCCACTTGTTTTACCTCGGGTCACACCCTAAGTAGTTATAACTTCAGTAGCAGCGACGCGGCATACGATGTTGCATAAATAGAGTGACGGGCTGAGACCATATCAACTTACTACCCCGAGTATTTTACACGTCTGAACAGTGTTTTGAGAACATCACAATGGTAAATGATTCTTGGCAGGAGTGTTAGCCAGGAGTGGAGGCGCCGACATACATAAACGAGCGCCTCTTCTAGTGTTCCTCAGTAGCCAGGCTTTTTGCTCTGACCTTCCCACACCATCGTATATATCCCCAGCAGCTTCTTAAATCAATGTTAATTATCAACTCATTTGCTAATCTCTTGAAATAAAACAGATACGCTGCTTATAACCAAAAACTTTCTGTGAAGTTACATCCAAATATAAATAAAAACAAATGGAAATACTGGAATCTATATTTAGACTTATGGGTCAGTATAGTACTCCCTTGAGAATCGTCTTTAGCCCAACACGTCCTCAGCCTCAGATAGACCCCCCCCCCTACCTCCTCCTCCCTTTCACTGGCCCCTGGCCCCTAAATCCCTTACCACCTCCTGCCCTTCACAGACGTTCTTTCCTCGTAAATCTAGCAGGAATTTTTTGGATATAGCGTAATTTCTCCTCTTTCCTAGTTCATTACAAAAAAAAATATATATATGTAAAAGCAATAAACCGATTAAGATCGAGTGAACCCGGGGGGGAGAGGGGGAGGGGGAGAGGGGGGGGAAACTCCGCCGACAAGTTTTGCCAGCGAGACCAGCAAGGCGGCGCTAATTGGGGGCTTTTGCTGGGTGATCACAATTGATTTTAACGTTTAGGACAAGTTGGCCTCGTTCTGACAACAGTCCTAGGTAACAACAAAAAACTTCCTTTATTTGTTGTCTGTCACGTGCCACGGTCACTCACCATAGGTAGGTACTATACAGACTACGGAGGCACTCGGCAGGTACTGAGGCACTCGGCAGGTACTGAGGCACTCGGCAGGTACTGAGGCACTCGGCAGGTACTGAGGCACTCGGCAGGTACTGAGGCACTCGGCAGGTACTGAGGCACTTGGCAGGTACTGAGGCACTCGGCAGGTACTGAGGCACTCGGCAGGTACTGAGGCACTCGGCAGGTTCTGAGGCACTCGGCTACACTCAACTCCAGTATCTTATTCCTCACTTTATTCGTCTTGACTTTATTATAAAGGACATTTTCCCTTAAATATCGAATTTCAAGACTTCGATCAGGGTTGATTACAGGATCCCTCATTTACCGAGCCTTTTACCTATAGTAGAGCTCCGATATCTTAGCAGCCACTTAAGAGATTAATTTCCTCGGGGCCATCGATCTGGATCAATTTGTTGTTGGTAGGGTGGGCAGGAGGGCGTTGGGCTGATCCTACCTTCTCCTCCGGCTGCCAACATATTGATCGGGAGCCGTCCGTCTTGATATTGGCAATAACGTGGAGCAGCAAAGAAAAAAATATACGTGGAGAATGACTTATTTACTTCCTCAGGTGTTCTGTACTGTTTCTCCATCTCTCTGGCCGACACTTTTACGTCAGTCTTTTGCCTCCTGTTTCACTGCATTGCTCTCACTATCTGTATGTATTTTCAGCTTTGTCATCAGGGTTCATGTTTCTCGTCTGCCTTCCACTCACTTTATAACAATGTATAAATATGATTATCAAAGTCGACGCTCAATCAGAGGCACAAAAACCAATCAGATGTTCAAGTCTTCTTAAGGTTAAGGCCACGAGAAATTGAATCCTGGTGTCTGTAACTCCGTCCCCAAGTGAGTCATAAACTTTGCTAACCGCGTCCTTCTCCTTCTTCCTCAGACATTGACAACAATGGCTTCCTTGACAAGAACGACTTCGAGTGCCTCGCCGTGAGGAACACCCTCATCGAAGGCCGCGGCGAATTCAACGAAGCAGCCTACGCCAACAACCAGAAGGTCATGTCCAACCTCTGGAACGAGATCGCCGAACTTGCTGACTTCAACAAGGTAAACTTGAAATGGACCGATGGGGCGACTAGATGCTCGGGGTTTACACGTAGGCGGGTTACAGTAGCAGCTAGACATTAAAGAGGCTGAGTGGATTATCATGAAGAGCTGGCAGGTAGAGAGGGGTAAACCAAACAGTTTCAGATAGCAACCGCAGTCGTCATGAAGGAACAATGTAGGAGATAGTTGATGAATTAGACTCACCAAAAACACCTCAGTTTAGGAAAAGGAGAATCACAATACAAATATGGATGTGAAGTCAGTAGGCAGTGGGGGAGGATGAGAGGGACACACACACAACTAGACAGTTATCAAACTTTTAAACAAAAGTATTTATCTAACATTTTGTGGTAGTAAACATATCTTGCTTAGATTAAGAAATGATCTTTTAAAGACATTTATATTCCATTAATATTCTTCACCTGAATTATTTCTCGACATTTACTGGGAAAATCCCTCAGGAGGAGCTGCAGTAGATGGGTTGATATTTTTTTACCTTAGAAACTTCACATAAGATTGGAGTGAGCTGAAGCAAGGGACAGTACAACACTCACTGCAGGATGCCCGGGGCAGAGAGGATAGCCAAAGGTAGGAGAGGGAGGATACATGTAGCTAAGTCTCGGGCAGGACATGATAGAGGTGTAGTGAGGAAGACAGAGGGAGGGAGAAGTTCGGTGAAGACCTGCGAGGGTGAGAGAGGACAGCGAGTGTAGGGATCACCACTGCTGTTTACAGAACGGAGAGGTCACTGTGGACGAGTTCAAACAAGCCGTCCAGAACCTGTGTGTTGGCAAGAAGTACGATGATTTCCCCACTTGCTTCAAGACTGTCATTAGCAGACTGTTCAGGACAGTTGATATTAACGGTAGGTAGCAGTTTAACAAACAGCAAGATCGACGCCACTAACAGCCAATTGCTGCCGCTGTTCTTGTTGTTGTTGCTGCTGCTGCTGCACAAGCATTTGCTGGCATAACCAATGTGTCGCAACTGTGTAGCCGTCGCTCTCAACAGTCCAGCCGCAGAATGTCTGCCAACATGGTCTTTTTTCGCTTTAGCTATATATATATATAGTATAAATATATATGTATTTATATATACATATTAATGTAAGGGCCTTAATATTATTGTAGTGGTGTTCAAGTCCTAGTGTATGTCTGTCACTCACAGTAATCCATTCATTGTTGTCAAGCTGCATTTCCTCCTCAATGTTTATCGTGTTCCACCCACTCACGCCATTTGCAACGTTTCGTGATTGCAAGTGAAGTATCAGTTCCTGCAGAAGTAGTCAACTGACCGTTTTGAAAGAAGTTTATCTTCAGGGTTCGCTAGTTCGGTCACCACACCTTCAGTTATCTTGTGGCAGGTCGACGCATCTTGCATCAGATCGTTGCCAAACGTCTTGCTTCCTAGCATGACTCCGTATCTTTTATTAAGTCGAAGTGTAGTACCTTCTGGCAAGACCAAGTCCTGCTGTTTACTCTGGTTGTCACACGGAAGATACATATTCTGATAGGGTTCCAGGTGTTGGTGAATCAAATCTTAGTCGATGCCACTTGTTCTTCCTAACACTTAGCTTCTGACCACCCCAAGAATACATATGGAACGGTTTTGTCTTGCGTAACACCTGTAATGTAGTATCTCCTTAGTTCGAATTACACTTTTTATAGAGACAAGTAAATGCTCTACTGGACAACTGAAGATCAAACAACCACACTTCCTTACCTGCGATACACACAACCTTACATTAGCCCACACTCATAACATATTGACGGCACTCACTCACTACTGGGTTAGGTTGTTGTCTTCTGTACCTGGCGTCTGGTCGACAGGGTTGGTCTCTGTCTGTAGTTTCAATAGTAGCTTTATTTTAACGTTTCCAGGACGGTGAGGTTACCGTTGAGGAGTTCAAGCAGGCTGTGCAGAAGAACTGCAACGGCAAGGGTTTCGGCGACTTCCCCAGTGCCTTCAAGACTTTCATTGCTACCCAGTTCAAGAGCATTGACGTAAACGGTACGTTACCCCACACGCTCTTTGGCGTGCAACAGATGTGCATCCTCCCCAACCTTTGCAGTTAACACCCTCATCGTTATTCCTGTTGCCTGTCGATGGCAAGGAAGGTCTTTTGATGCGCCTACAAACCTCAATTTGAACCACAATTTGGCGTTTACAGGACGGTGAGGTGTCCGATGATGAGTTCAAGCAGGCGGTTAAGGAACACTGCCAAGGCAAGAGCTACGACGCCTTCCCAACTGCCTTCAAGTCTTTCATTGCTAACCAGTTTAAGACTATTGATGTGAACGGTACGTTACTGCCTTCTTCTTTACAGGGGTATAAGAGCACATCTCACTCATCCCAAGAAGGGCATTAGGCCATACACCAACAAGCACCATCACCCCTTCAACACCAACCAACAATAACTTACGGACCTCCTGTTCCCAAACCTCACCTCACAACCTACTTCCAGGACGGGGAAGTTTCCGGCGAGGAATTCAAGCAGGCAGTTAAGGACGCCTGTGTTGGCAAGAATTTCGATGAATTCCCTAATGCTTTTAGGATGTTCATTGTAAACCAGTTTAAAACGGTTGATGTGAACGGTATGTGCGACGACTTAGTTATTCATCTCGGGTTATTTTTTCTTCATTTGTAGTATTATCATCTTTTTTCCTTTCACTTCATCACTTTTGTCCGAGTCCGTTCATCTCCAAGATCTCAAACCAGACACACATCTTCGAGAAGCTTCTAGTAAGCACTACCCCCGCCCCCCCTTTTTCCTCTAGAGAAAGAAGCACCTCACTTTGTCCCCTTTTAGCAGATCTCAGATCAGGTGTACTTTAAGAAGACTTTCACCGGTATTCACAGATTACCCTTGTTGGTTCCAGGATGGTGAGGTGACAATTGACGAGTTCAAGAAAGCAGTACAGAACGTATGTGTGGGCAAGGCCTTTGCTACCTTCCCTACAGCTTTCAAGTCGTTCATTGCTAACCAGTTTAAGAGTGTTGACGTTAATGGTACGTTTTAAATTTAAATAAAAAGTAATGATGTAAATTACACAATGCTTTCATGTACGTTTTTGGCTGAAGAATCAACGTATTAAGTTGTCCAGTTCTCTTTGTTGCATTTGTTACAATACCCCTCTTGTGCATTCCAAGGCTTATTATAATCAATCAAACAGTACTACAATTAGCAACGACCATTTGTTGCTAAAGTAAGAAAATTGGCACCACATACCTGGATCTGTAGAACCTACTTTTGTTGCTGAAATCCCCACGTAGAAGGCAATTTTGCTATCTTTTGTTTTTCTTTTTGCAACACTGTACTTCCTTTTAGCTTGCTTCCACGGTAGGATATTTTTTCTCTCTCTCCTTTTTAAAATTTCTTGATGTTGCTTGAAGCTTTCTGCAGTTTAAGAAGAGCTACAAAGTTCCTGAAAACAAAAGAAATTTTCCAAAATAAAATTTTTGGGCCAATCTTGGGTCAGTAAACAGTTAATCCAAAACACAAGAAGTAACTAGAAAACACATTGACTTTACAAACATTTTATTTTTGCTTTTGTTTTCTCAGTTATATGCTTGAGCTTTGGGGAAATCAGTGTTTCTCTTGTGTTTCTCTTTACTGCGTTAGTCACTTGAAAACAATAAAAAAAATAGAATATCGGAATACTCGACCATACAGTATACGGTCGAGCACGTCGATTATTTTCCCACTCATATACATCACAGCCAGCTACACACACGCCCACTACCTCAACGCAAGAAATCATATTACAATCATCTTCTTCATTCTTTTTTTAATATCTTTTTATGTCTTTCATCTCTCTCTCTCTCTCTCCTCTCTTGTTTCTTACTTGTTCTTTCCTTTATTCACCGTCGCCCGTAGAGTGTTGGATATCAGAGAAGGAGATCACGATTACTTGTAGACAAAGGATTCATTTTGTGTCCTTATAAAAATATATCACTTAAGTTTAGCCTTCACCACTGACCTTCTCTGATCATGCTACCGTTGATCCGACCTAGAGACGTCTCCAGGACTCAGACTAGACTCAATTTTCATTTTTATTATCTAAATAGTAATCTTTTTTTTTCAAGTCGATTTTTATCTTCTTTTTTTCCCAATCTGCAAGAAGCTTCCACCACTTTTTTTATGGAGAAAATCGTCTCGATATTTGACATCAGGTACTTTTTAGCTAATACTCCTATTTTATTTCATGGCTGTTGCTTTTTTATTTACCTTCTTGCTTTTGTCAACTTCATCATTTATATATATATATATATATTTTATTTTTTGCGACGCTTAAGATAAAAGCTAACAGCTGGAGACAATACACCACCAATAGCTGACCCTCATACCAAGCTTTGTTGACACTGCTACCTACTAACCTCTTCCCACCGTGACTCTAACCTGTGTTCTACAGTTTAGCTTACGCTTCAAAGACCTCTCTCAGGGCGCCTATTCACAGCTCTATATAGGCTACTTAACGTAGAGTTAGAGTAACACCTCGCCACAGACTGTACTTGTAGAATGTAGATTGAAAGTGTGGCTGCTTTTACCTTATTTCTAACTCACTATCACTTGATAACTTAACCTAATAATTTAATTTGGTAACCGATAATAATTTATCCTCGAGCACAAATTCTTCTCTGTAAACTAAGATATTAGGAATTAATCGTAGCTTTAGTACTGAATTCGTGCCCTGTATCCGTGATGGTTATTGCATGCCGCAATGAGAGGTCTTAGTATTGGCTTATACGATGTGAAACTCCAATGTAACATGTGCTTGTATACTATATGTGTGTGGGGAGCTGACAGGCATCGAACACCTAAAGTTGATCGAAAACTCTTAATGAAACCCCTAGAATGTTTATTTCTAATAATTTTATTGCAATGGTGGAACAAAACCTTTCTTATCGCCGGCTGTACATACAGTGACAGCTGAAAGTTCCGGTGCCTATCGGTTCATCGCTCTATGTTGAAGCTTTGTCATATGCTTTAGTGTGCTTCTTGTGCCTCAGTGCGCTGTCTCACACAAACTGAATCGTTGTTGCTAGTTATTATTTTCTATAAGGAATGTATTAATCTCACCTTTTTCAGGATGAAGAGTCGAGAATTTTTTAGAATAGATTTCTTCCAACTAAATAGTCAAAGTTAGTACTAGAACTGAGTTTAGATTACGTATTAACACTGGTACAGATTGTGAGCTTAATGCCTCTTAGATAAGCAACTACTGTAGATCAGTCACTAGGAGCTGAGACATAACACAGCTGAGCCTAAAATACTAATCTTTTCATAGACAAAATATGCACATAGAAGCCTCTCTTGGCGGCCTTTATATACAATAAGGTGAATAATAATGCTTCAGGGGGGGTTAGAAAATGTACATGGCTGCTTTGTGGTAGTAGTAGATAAAGAGGCGGGTAGGAGTAGTAAGAGTGATAGTGAAGTGCCGGACAATGTCACTCAGACTCTTAGGACTTTAGAGAGCCGAGACCTTTAAAGCCCAGAACCTGTTGGACATGGATCAGGAGAAACTCAGATGGTCAGGACGTTGAGAGTTAGTCAGGCCTCCCGTTCACTAAGACCTCTGCACTGTTCTAATTTGGCCTCCTCCATCCCGGCGCCCCCTATAGGTGATGGCCTTGTTGGTGTTGATGAGTACAGGCTGGACTGCATCTCCAGGTCTGCCTTCTCCAACATCAAGGAGATCGACGATGCCTACAACAAGCTCTGCACTGTAAGTTGCAAATTATTCTCTTCTTTAACCCCCTCAGATCAGGTCTACAGTATATATTACAGTATCTAATTCTGTTTTACAATCATTGGCTATTGATTCATTCCAGACCACCTTATTTGATTAAACACGAACAGTTCAATTCTCTCTTGCACGTTTTCATTGTGAGTTTATCAAACACCTTGACCATTCGTGTTAACAATGTTAGAGTGGGAACTGTAGTAATGGTGAGTGTTCTCTCTCCCTTTCACAGGAAGACGACAAGAAGGCCGGTGGCATCAGCCTTACCCGCTACCAGGATCTTTACGCTCAGTTCATCTCCAACCCTGATGAGTCCTGCAACGCCGTCTACCTTTTCGGACCCCTGAAGGTGGTGCAGTAAATGTGTGTTTGAGGCATCCAGACGCTGCCCACGCGCGAGGCCCGACGCTGTGGGTGGACAACCCGCGCACGCGCAACCCGGGCCGGCCTTAGCGCCCGCCCTTCACACCCACCAGTGCCCAGTTCCTCACCGCATCATTTTTGTACTCATCTCCCTCTGACGCCAAGCCGCAATTTCAGGCAACAACACCGCCTGCAGTAGTCGACCCAGTCGCAAACGGCCCTAGCCGGGTTCCTGGAGTGGGGACCGTGCGCGCTGCCCCTGGCCACGACCCCCGGGCTTCTGCTGGCCAGAACAACATCGGGAATGGTCGACTGCTGATGCGATCATCTCTCTATATTAATGTCCAATAAACGTTGAAATGTTTTAAACCTCTGTTATATTATCCTGATGTGTATAATAGGGATCACCTCCCACTGGTATATATTGGACATATAGGTTATATATAGTAATAACACTAAAAGATATACTGTATAATAAGAACATCCCTCTTATAAACATTAACAAAATACTGGCTCTTTGGTGACCACATGTAAACATATAAGTAACCGTACAAATCCCACACCTAAAACACAACCTGAGCTAATGAATGATTGAGAAATTATTAAAAAAAAAAATCATGAGAAGCAGGACATAAACGGGAACTAAACTGGAAATCTTAAACCAGAAACTTAAACTAGACAACTGACCTGGGAACCATAAACAGGAAAACCAAACTGGAAATCTTAAACCAAAAAACTAAACCAGAAATCTTAAAACCGGAAATATAAAGGGATCACACTAAAAGAAATTTATCATCGACTGAGATTCTACATTAATTTACACTACCAATTATAGCAGTAAATTCATCTGAAGACACAACAAACTCTACTACGATGAATCTACCACACAACAAATTCTGCCATGATGAATCACCACACAACAAATTCTACGACGATGAATCTACCACACAACAAACTCTACCATGATGAATCTACCACACAACAAACTCTACCATGATGAATCTACCACACAACAAACTCTACCATGATGAATCTACCACACAACAAATTCTACGACGATGAATCTACCACACAACAAACTCTGCCATGATGAATCTACCACACAACAAACTCTACGACGGTGAATCTACCACACAACAAACTCTGCCATGATGAATCTACCACACAACAAACTCTACGACGGTGAATCTACCACACAACAAATTCTACCATGATGAATCTACCACACAACAAACTCTGCCATGATGAATCTACCACACAACAAAGTCTACCATGATGAATCTACCACACAACAAATCTCTACCATGATGAATCTACACAACAAACTCTGCCATGATGAATCTATCTGCCACACAACAAACTCTACCATGATGAATCTACCACACAACAAATCTACATGATGAATCTACCACACAACAATCTCATGATGAATCACCACACAACAAACTCTACCTGATGAATCTACCACACAACAAACTCTGCCATGATGAATCTACCACACAACAAACTCTACCATGATGAATCTACCACACAACAAACTCTACCATGATGAATCTACCACACAACAAACTCTACCATGATGAATCTACCACACAACAAACTCTGCCATGATGAATCTACCACACAACAAACTCTGCCATGATGAATCTACCACACAACAAAGTCTACCATGATGAATCTACCACACAACAAAGTCTACCATGATGAATCTACCACACAACAAAGTCTACCATGATGAATCTACCACACAACAAACTCTGCCATGATGAATCTACCACACAACAAACTCTGCCATGATGAATCTACCACACAACAAACTCTACCAAAGCCATGATGAATCTACCACACAACAAAGTCTACCATGATGAATCTACCACACAACAAACTCTGCCATGATGAATCTACCACACAACAAACTCTGCCATGATGAATCTACCACACAACAAAGTCTACCATAATGAATCTACCACACAACAAAGTCTACCATGATGAATCTACCACACAACAAACTCTACGACGATGAATCTACCACACAACAAACTCTACCATGATGAAACTACTACACAATAAACTCTACTACAATGAATCTACTACACAACAAACTCAACTACGATGAATCTACTACACAACAAACTCAACTATGATGAATCTACCACACAGCAAACTCTGCCATGATGAATCTACCACACAACAAACTCTACGACGATGAATCTACCACACAACAAAGTCTACCATGATGAATCTACCACACAACAAACTCTACCATGATGAAACTACTACACAACAAACTCTACGACGATGAATCTACCACACAACAAACTCTACGACGATGAATCTACCACACAACAAACTCTACCATGATGAAACTAATACACAACAAACTCAACTACGATGAATCTACTACACAACAAACTCTACGACGATGAATCTACCACACAACAAACTCTACCATGATGAATCTACCACACAACAAACTCTACTACAATGAATCTACTACACAACAAACTCAACTACGATGAATCTACTACACAACAAACTCAACTACGATGAATCTACCACACAACAAACTCTACTACAATGAATCTACTACACAACAAACTCAACTTCGATGAAACTACTACACAACAAACTCTACTACAATGAATCTACTACACAACAAACTCAACTACGATGAATCTACTACACAACAAACTCAACTACGATGAATCTACCACACAGCAAACTCTGCCATGATGAATCTACCACACAACAAACTCTGCTATGATGAATCTACCACACAACAAACTCTACGACGATGAATCTACCACACAACAAACCCTGCCATGATGAATCTACCACACAACAAACTCTACTACAATGAATCTACTACACAACAAACTCAACTACGATGAATCTACTACACAACAAACTCAACTACGATGAATCTACCACACAACAAACTCTACTACAATGAATCTACTACACAACAAACTCAACTACGATGAAACTACTACACAACAAACTCTACTACAATGAATCTACTACACAACAAACTCAACTACGATGAATCTACCACACAGCAAACTCTGCCATGATGAATCTACCACACAACAAACTCTGCTATGATGAATCTACCACACAACAAACTCTACGACGCTGAATCTACCACACAACAAACTCTGCCATGATGAATCTACCGCACAACAAACTCTACGACGCTGAATCTACCACGCAACAAACTCTGTTATGATGAATCTACCACACAACAAACTCTACGAAGCTGAATCTACCACACAACAAACTGTGCCATGATGAATCTACCACACTAACACCCCTCCCACCTCAACACTCCACATGTCAAGACCGCCCTGGCAAATGGTAATCCCTAGGTCCACAACAAACTACACAGGAATTTTAAGTGAATGTTCCTCCCATCACCAAACATCGATGGTTTTTTTTTATGATCCGAAATGCCATCAGAGGAAAGTTCAGGTTTAGTGTCCATCTCTAAAAGAAAGTTCAGGTTTAGTGTCCATCTCTAAAAGAAAGTTCAGATTTAGTGTCCATCTCCAAAAGAAAGATCAGATTTAGAGTCCAACTCTAAAAGAAAGTTCTGATTTAGTGCCATCTCTAAAAGAAAGTTCAGATTTAGTGTCCTCCTCCAAAGAAAGTTCAGATTTAGTGTTCATCTCCAAAAGAAAGTTCAGATTTTTTTTTTGTTACGGGAATTAGCCCACCCGGGCACAGGTCAAACGACCCACAACGGAGCATGGGGGGCGAAAAAAAGAACGGAAAGAAATTGAAAATATAGAAAAAAAAAAGGTTATACTGTATTAATCTACACCACGAAGATGCCGGAAAACCAGCCTTTTAAAGTGAGACAGATTGTAAGAGCATGGAAACACAGATGAAGGCAGAGCATTCCACAGTTTGGCTGTGTGAGGAAAGAAGGAGGGACTATAACGGGTTATTCTCGTGTGACCGACATCCACAGAGAAATGGTGGGCACCGCGGGCAAGACGTGTGTTACGAACCCACGGCCTTGCCTGCGGTACACAGGATGCCAAATCCACTGAACATTGCCCGTTAAAGTACCTGTAAAAAAGAGAGATTGAAGCAATATTGCGGCGAAGAGAAAGGGGAGAGAGATTGTCGACTAAAGGAGGAGAGTTAATAAGACGAAATGAATTTGATTCCACCCTATCTAATAGTTGGACAAAAGAAGAGCCACCCCAGATATGAGAGCAGTACTCCAAGTTAGGACGTATGAATCCCTTATATACGTGGAGCACCTGCTCAGGAGTGTCCCTCTCCAAAGAAAGTGTCGATCTCTAAAAGATAGTTCAGATTTAGTGTCCATCGCTAAAAGAAAGTTCAGATTTAGTGTCCATCTCCAAAAGAAATATCAGATTTAGAGTTCAACTCTAAAAGAAAGTTCTGATTTAGTGTCCATCTCTAAAAGAAAGTTCAGATTTAGTGTCCATCTCCAAAAGAAAGATCAGATTTAGAGTCCAACTCTAAAAGAAAGTTCTGATTTAGTGTCCATCTCCAAAAGAAAGTTCAGACTTAGTGTCCCTCTCTAAAAGAAAGTTCAGATTTAGAGTCCCTCTCTAAAAGAAAGTTCAGATTTAGAAGGCCCATCTCCAAAAGAAAGTTCAGATTTAGTGTCCCTCTCTAAAAGAAAGTTCAGATTTAGAAGGCCCATCTCCAAAAGAAAGTTCAGATTTAGAGTCCCTCTCTAAAAGAAAGTTCAGATTTAGAGGGTCTGTCTCCAAAAGAAAAGCATGGGATCTCTTCTGGCCCCCTCCAGCTACTCTCACTCTAAACAGGGATGAGAGAAAGTAAAGTCCCTGGACCATACTATCCCATTGTGATTCCTATGACATATGGCCGTAAGTTATGTACCATAGAATTCACATAGAGCAAGTTTGATACGTTTTCACATATGCAAATAGATTGAAAACTAAACTAGCGAGAGTGAAAATCTGTCTTCGTCACCTTTAGTGTTATATTTTCCTCTCTTATATACACTAATGATTATGGTATTTACATTATGTTAGGAATTAGTCATCTCATCACCTTACAGGTTCATAATTATCCGGTGTTGAATTTTCCATGTCGACACTGTAAAAATGTTTCCCCCTTTACATTATATTTAACCATTCTAAAACTACTGAGAATGTCTGATGTAAAAAAAAATACCTTGTTAATTAATGAAGTAAAACACACAAACACACACACACACACACACACACATACACACACACACACACACACACAGTATAAGTTACTCTATAGATTCAATTATTACACAATTATACATTATAGGGGTTAAATTACCTTCAGTTTTAGCTTATTGACTGTATTCGATATATTTATGTTACTTTGTT